CCGTGAAGTCTTTGTTGTAATACGCGTCACGGTGTTTAAATGTTTTATTTTCGTCGACCCGTTTCTTAGTGGGCCGCACGTGGAGAGTGACGGAACACTGTCGCGCCGCCACGCAAATGACACTCGCCGCCGGTCTCCCGCCATAGTATCCGAAAAAGCGGCGAACGTCTCGCCGACGACAATCGAAAACGTCGTCCGTTTACGGAAATTTCAGTACGACGCATGCGCGTATCGAAATCAAAAAGCGGCTAGCAGTTTAACTCTTTGCACCCCCCCCCCCCCCTCCCCCAGCTATATGTAATGTATCGTTTTCGAACCGTCTCTCAAATATTACGGAAAGGAAAAAAAAACAAAACAAAACCGAATACTTTCCCGAAGACGTCGGGCGCGTCTCGCGCGTTATTATTTACGCCGATCGCCATGTATAGTATAGTATAGTATAGTTCTTCACGGACTATTCAAGCGTATTTATATTATTATTATTATTATTATTATACTCGTCAACGCGAAACCGCAATCACCGCGCGGTTTACATAATGTTATAATATCGTGCCGTAATACACACACACACATACACACATACACACACACATTATGTGTGTATATAGGTATACTGCCCGCGTATACGCCGCCTCCAAAGTTATGAGAGACTTCCCTCGATTTCAATTACTGCAGGCTGGCGTACACGGTAAACCGGCGGCGGTCGGCTTCCGTTACACATTACGGGGCCGCGGCGTAATTGAATTTCCGCGTATATTGCCGCGCGGAAAATATTGGTTTTAGCGTGCCGGCGATTAATAATATCGAACAATTACAATATCCGCGATCAAAATTTCCGAGAACAATATGATCGGTTTTCCGACGAAAAACCCAAACCCGGCCACGGAGAAAAATTGTTTTTATTATTATTATTTTTTTTTTACCCTCGTACGGTTTTTTTCAATTCTCCCGTTTTTCCGGGACCTTAGGGGGAAATCCGCCCGTCCCGTTTCGATAACCGCAGTGACGTGCGGCGGCGTCGACGAGATCCGATTTTCATACTGCGCGCTTTCCCTCCTTCCCCCTTCCCCGGGAGAATGGTCCGCGGTAGTATATACAGTTTCGTTAACTTAACGAACGATATTAAAATACGCAACGCGTAAGTACATTAGAGACGTTACTTTCTTGACCGTGACGACCGTACCGATTGCCTATAATAACATTGCTGGTTTTTTTTTTTCATCCGCGTTACTAAGGTTACCTGTAAATCAACAACAAAAATCATGTAAATACCGAAAACCCTGTGTTCGAAAATCCGGCTTCGGAGTGCGAACCCGCGGTCATCCGTTTCTGTACATGTAAATTTTCAATCCTCTGCATAAATTGTACCCAGACAGATAGACAGACACTTCCTAATATTAATATAGACGATTCACATGTGAAAAAAAAAATCGAATGTATAAAAAAAATGTTATAAGAATCTGTTTAAAATCGCGACAGATATTTTAGCTAAATATCAAACATCGCAGTAGTTAAGTATTATTTTGAACATTTGAATTTAATTGTTTAACCGAGCTTCGGAATCGGAGATCGAAATCGTTTCTTTTCGCAATTATTTATTAACATAATGGCATTTTTCAAATTGAGATTTAATTTAAAACATATACTTTTGGTTTCATATACGATCGGTTACATTAAAAAAAAAAGCCCAATGCATGTACAAGTTATGTGTGATTATTTTTGAAAACGTAGCCACCTCAATTTACTTTTTTTTGTATATCAGTGTTTTAGACTCTGAGTTAATGTCTCAATCTTTTTATACCAACATTATTATACAAATGTTTAAAATAATATTTTGCACACGCAAACAAGCGTGTGCATCGAAATCGACACCACACATTATACAACTACCGGCAATGTATTTTTGATAATATCTAATAATTGTTTTGGTTTTTTTTCTGTTTCAGGTAATGAATATAAAGTTCTTAAAAGAAAAATCATTAGCGGTTAAGTAAGAAATTATTGCGTATTATAATTATTTAGATTCTGAGCGATGCGGGAAATGTATTGATTTTTCAATGATGTTTCCTAGAAATCTCGTTCAAACTAAAATACGACAAGAGACATTTTTTGTTGCATATTGGCTCTAGTTAGTATTTTAAAAATATCATTTTTTGAAACTCTCGTATTAATAGAGATAATGAGGAAAAACGATTCTTTAAATTAAAAAAGATTAAGATGTATTATAAATAATGTTGTATTATTGGTAACTATTTTTATTTACTTTTTGTTATTGTTAAGCTTTTACTACTTCAATCTTTTAATTTTTTTTTTTAAACAATCATCGTCGTGAAAACATTCGCTGTTCAAAAATCAATACCATTGACCGAGCTCCGTTCAGAACCGTTTTTTGTTAGCAATAATTAATCGTTGGGTGCCGATATAAATTATGATTACCTCAATAGTCAATGCCGTCCCGACTTCTCACTTATTACAGTCGCCCACCCGTGGTGCGAAGTATGTCTGTCTGTTTCTTAACATGCAATCGGTTATGTTTACATCTGGGAAACGATATTATGTTCGTACCTATACTACGTGATCTTGAAACAATTTAAATACATATGTATATATGAGAATAAAAGAAAAAACTACATACATAGGTACTATTACTATAATAATATTATCATTTTATTCGACCGGTAAAAATAATATCGTATTACGTTCCGAGCGAAGCAAAACATTTATCGGTCTTTCAATTATGTATTTTTTTATGTATGCATGTAAACAATTTTTTTTTACCGAAAATCTAAAATTTGTTATCCAAAAACGTGTAGGAACCTTATTGGGCAGCGTTTTCGATCTCGTCGAGGGCGTATTTTTGTTTTTTATTTTCCTCGTAGTTTTCGTTATAAATACTGGTGATATTTCGCATGTTCCTGTATCGACTTTTCGTTTGATTTACAACACATACCGCTCAGAATCGTATTGAGTTAGCGAACGGCTTGCGTTGCGTTCTAATACGAATTTAAATCGCTTTACACGTCATACCCGTCATCCTTCCTGGCTTCGCCACCTGCAGTAGCGGTGGCACGTACACGTTAGCAGTGTCGGCTCTTCTTTTTCTCGTTTCTAATTTTCTGTGCACACGCGCGTCGTGACATAAACTAATATATTGTTTTCTTTTATATTATATTATTATTATTATATACGAACCGATATACCGCACTGACATCACAGTGGTGGCGGCGGCAGCGGCGGCCGGGTTTCGACAATTTCGCAGGCGGCAAACGTTCGAGTTATTGTTGTTTCTGCAGCAGTCCCGGGGCCGAGACGAGACTGTGGCAGCATCGGGGTGGAAAAATAAGAATCTACGGATCGTGACTCGGGTGCTTAAAATAAACCAACGCCGTAGTTTCTATGGAACGTAAAACGAAAAATTCCGGCGAGCCCTGCAGACCGACCTTCGTCGTCGACCGGGAGCCCCAGCTAAAATCTCATTTTAAATCCGCGGACGCATTGTGTTCGGACCTTTAACAAATGGACCTAACGGCGCGCCGGGTCAAACGGAAAATTGACTCGGAAATTCGATAGGAACCCGAGCCGGCAATGCGACCGAGGTCTATAAATTTATACACGGGAACACGAGCGTGTTGTATTATACGGGTGGTAGTGCGCCCGCTATAATATTTAAAAAAGCCGGACTTACTCCGCACCCAAGCCCAGATTAAGACGTTTAGAGGACCCGAGGCCAAACTTTTCAACTAGACTCTAGTCGAATGACTTATGATTTTCTGTTTACTAATCAATATTATGTTTTAACGAAAGAAAAATAATAAATAGTGGGATAGACATCATATTATACGATCAAAAGCCACGAGTATTATTTAATTAAATAAATATAGTATTATTCTTAACAAAGTTACTAGTATAGTTTCTAATATTTATATAATAATACAAATAACAAGAAGTATTCGTCAGACTACAAAAAAAACATTAAATTATCAAAGTACAAAGCATATCGATGGTGTTTTGTTAAAAGTTTGTATACCAATAAAAATTCGGTATCAAACAAATCAGAAAAATGAGGAGCATAAGCTGATTAAAGGGCATATTTAAATACAGAAAAATAAGTTAGTTATGTCGACTAAAAGATATCCAGGTGCTATTTAAAAATATAATTAAATCAAGACTGATTTGTTAAAAGAGCGTATAGCACATTCAATGCAAGTATACTTTTTGTACAAAGTATTATGACGTGTACGAGTAATTTTATTATTTTCCATGATAAACATCATAAAGACTGTTTAGCTGTTTCTTTGCAAACAGATTTGTCAACTTCCTGAAAAAAAGTGTTTTAGTGGTATACGCCTTTTTAACAAAACATCGCCGATATAATATAAAGAATATACTGTGGTAAAAACTGAGTTACTGGGATTCTGCCTCCTCCCTTGATCCCCCTTTAATCTTGGCTCATTCGCATCACCACGGGTAGACTACAGGCCGTAGTATGTGAGAGCTTTGCAAGGTATACTGCGTATCCGTTAGCGAACGTGACAGTAAATCGTTAATTTGCGTTTTTCGACCTTATCGTAAAGTAAATCAGAATCCAACGGCACAATTAAACGACCGACGACGTATTAACGTAATAGTTATCTTCGTCAAGTTTTTCATATTCAATTTTATAGACAAACGGTCGTGATAAAAAAAGTACCTCCGACAGAATAACCCGCATCTTTCGTTCGAAAAAATCCGAGGAAAAAACACACGCATCACGTCTTATGGTAAAACTATAATAATACCTATAGTTTTTTTGCTGTATCCCGCAAAATTGAAAACATCACTAACACTAACTATTTATTTCATTTAGTTAATTTTTATAATTTTTAGTCCGCGGTAAAATCGTATTATAAATGTTATCTATTAATGAAGCCGTAATACGCTTTAAAAATTGTTTTATCATAAACACAACTACGGTTTCCAAATCATTATAAACTACGTTAAAAAAATATTTACCATAACTGTGATGCATTTTTTATTTTTTACTAGTCCCCGATTCGAAGGCGAAAACCTCATGTTCGATATCTAGTATATCAACAGCGCTAAACATAATATTATGCTGCTGCCGATTATCTAGACAGACACATAAAAATGTTATAGCCATTTTTTCTAAAAATGTTGATTAATGATAATTTTAGAAATCGAAATTATGTTACTATCATTGAGCACACAATATTCTAATATATAGACACTGGCTGGACGACTACAGGAACATTGAAATATCTTTAATGTCTTCAAAGAAATGTCTAGGTTTTATTATAAGATAATAAAAAATATATAAGATTATACCTTTTAAGTTTTAAAATGATTTGACAGGTTTATAAAAAAATAAAATGTTTTAGGGCTTTTTCTTTCTCGAAAACTTTTCTCTTTAAAAGAGAAATTCAATCCGAAAGCTGCAAAGATACTGAAATATAATAAATTCAACGTAGACGAAAAAAAAAAAAAGATAAAAAAATGGATTTTGATACTCACATTTTTAATATTTTAGCAGAAAGTAAAAAAAAATAATATACCTATACACCTATAATTTTCGTATTACGTAGTTGTATATTTTTTTTTTTTTTTTTTTTTGAATAAAACATTAGCAGTGGAATAAGGCGAGAAATTAATTTCTGGAAACGGAAACATATTTCTGCTTAATAAAACAAAACACACTATAGTAAGATTGTAGACGTAGTTAGATAAAAATTGACTGAAAAAAAAACCATTAGCATTCTTTTTTATTTTATGACATTTTTCGTTTTGTAACACCGAAAGAAAATTAATTTTCGAAAACTATTTTGAAAAATCCATTTTGATATTAGATTTAAGTGTACGTAAATCAATAGATCTCCGGATTTATAAGTCAAACGTAACTGCACAGCTTCCCACTCGGAATTATATCGAATTAAAAAAATTAATTAATTAAAACCTCTTTTTCTTACTATCTTTATCGCGCTCAATGATTCGTAGCATGGCGACCATTTTGAACAATTATTTTCCGTACGTTTAGTTTAATTAAATATCAAGCAAAATATATTTGTACAAAAAAAATATAAAAAGAAACTTCAAAATTGGACAGTTTATGTGAATAATGACCGGAATCGATTTTAGTTTATATTCGCTAATATTCTGTGTTAAATAAATAAATTTCAAGCTGTTTTAAATGGTATATCTGTAATTTACAACTGGTTTACACCGGATTCACGTCTTATTTAAATTATTTTTGTTCCGATAGTAATATAATCTTTGCCCGTATCAATTCAAAAGGCGTTAATAATCATAAGAAGTAAAAGGGTCTTAAAAAGTGGATGCGTCAGTTGAAACTGTTAAAAATAAAAATGGCGATAAATTAAGTAAATACAATACATAACTGTACACAAAATAAATATAAATTCCGAACCGTGAAATTTGAAAAAAGTCACAGTGGTATTTGTTGTCCGTCTAAGTAAAGATTACCCGCGTGTATTTGCCGTCTTTCGTAAAAACACCGTTCAATTGTTTGTCTTAAACAATTAAAGAAACAGTAACATAATAATTATTTTGTAAATAGTTTTTTTTTTTTTTTTTTTTGGCTGGGGTCGATTCTTAATAAATATCGAATTTTTACAAACGTATTCGGTTCCTGAATATCGTATTTTCACTTCTTTAACCCCGCATGGTTTTTCCATGGCAGTTTGCCGGTGTAATTTTCGCCGCGGCCATTTTGTCCGTTCGAAAAATAATATAGTAAAATTATTCGGTCCGTCTGCACTCGGCGCATTTGCGGCGTACGTTTTCTCGGAGTCGTATATCATTGTACAGTAATGTCGCACCGCGTATAATAACAATAATTATAATAATAATAATTCATCTGCACCGCCGCCGGTTTGTTTCCAGATTTTCGTAGAGTTTCGTACGGTGTCGTCGCCGTCGTTGTAATATTATTGTTTCGTCCGTGACTCGAATAATTCTAGGACGATTATTTTCGAATTGTTCTACGTGCGCTCGCATCGCCCGACACTCGTTTAATCGAGCCGCCGTCGCCTTCGTCTATATTATCAACTCTGCGCTGCATTGCACCGACTCTATTACGACAACTTACTGTGTACCTCGGCGCAGTGGCGCAGGAAGATAGCGTACACAGCAGTGCGTGTTCGGCGGCGCGAAACAATGCGCGCGAGTCGTATAATATAAGAAAAACGACGACCGTTTTGACTATACTGTACACAATACGCGATATTATTATTATTATTATCACCGAATTAACGCCGGATTTGAATATTATAACGGCGGTTTTTCTTCTTTTTCTTCCGCCACCGCCGCGGCTGTTAGCGCCTTTATATTCAGAAATCTAATTAAAACAACGCGATAGTTGTCCTCCCACCCCACTGTCCGCCCCTTTACCGTCCTCCCTGCCCGGCATTGTTTTTCAGGCTTGATCCGACGCGTATAATATAATAAATGATTAATATCTACCCACACTCAGCTTTTGTGACAGCGCGGCTACGAGGATATACCTACCTCGTCGAGCCGGAGATGGCGGGGAGGAGAGTGCGGTGGGGAGGGGAAAGGGTCGAAGAAAGGACGAGGAGAGAGAAAGAGAGAGAGAGAAAGACAGCAAGAGTGAGTGAGAGACTTAAACCTTTTAAAAGTTTCGCGAGAGTTTTTAGAGATGACAGAATCTTGACGGGCGAACATAATACACGAGCCCTTTAGCGCGGGCGAAGAGTGTAGTTCCCATTGAACTCTGTCCAACTCTCGCTTCTGCTGCATTTTTCTCCATTATCGGTATTAGCGTCGCGCCGCGCGTTTTATTTTCGTTGCCAGAGCGAAAATATATAAACTGGCGATCAATTCACCGTATATACACTAAAATATAGCCACCGCTCCAGTACGGGGATTTTCGCGCGCGAGACGACGTTCGGCAGGCGAGCCTGTAAATCAACGCGATTTATATACGACGATATCTTTTCGTCCAGAAAAGAAAAAATAAAAAAGATAAAATAGTCTACGCAACGGAAATCGCGTTTTAAGCCCTACTCTAACCCCCCTTACCCCCTCGCAACGAAAGATTCCGGACGATAATAATTGCAGCGCGTCGGAAAAAAGGGTACGTATAATACATCCACTTTTTTACGGTATTTGGGACCGCCTTCCGTCCCCGAAAAAAAAAACCAAAACCGACAAAAACGTATTACGTTATAATAATGACTTTGCACTAGATGTGTGAAATATCGTCTCTAAAAACGTTATTAAAAAGAAACACTTGATATACCCCCTAAAAAAAAACTATGATAACAATTAATTTAAAATTATTAAAAAATAAAAGTTCGAATATACTTCGCACGATGGGTGGACCACTGTTGTAGGTGAAAATTCGGAAAGGTTGGACACAGAGGGGAATTTAATATGTATCTATACGCAATGATTAATTTTCGATCAATCAATGCTTTTCGGGTCGGTTCCGGTAACACGACGATACATCGGAAGCGTCTCTTCGTCACGGCTCGACGGTCGACTGATCCATCGGTACTATAATAATATAATCGCGATTACGAGCGTCGGATTTTGCCTATTTTTACGACTTTATACGAGAATGATAGAATATCTTCTATATTAGTAAAATATAGTAATTATACGGCCTGTGTGGCGATAAAATCATTACGATACACGCGAGGATTGGCGCCGCCGGCCACTCGCGTGTTACAATATTATTCACGTAGTATTAATAATATTATCATAAACAATATCCGGAAGGTCGTGTACCGCGGCTGGACTACGAATTAGAGCGATTTATACGGCGGCTACCGAAATATTATAATGTGTCGCACGCGTCGTATCGTTTAGAGAGATAGAGAATATATACCTGCCTCGGGGACGCGTTATTATACGTGCGTGCGTCAAATATTAAACAGGCGCCGCCACTGATATTGCTGCCCTTTGACCGTATCGGGGAAGTATAACGCGCCCGGCCGATTTAAAATGCGCACGAGCCGGCGGGATACAGCACCGCGGTGGGACGTTCCTTTACGGGGCCCGATTAATGGATTTTCCCGGTGTCGCACCGATGTTTCGGATGTCCAAATACACTCATGCATCCGTGTTTAAGTAATACAAATGTGTTAAAAAACGTGCTTTTTTTAACGTATATATGTGGGGAGTTTCGCATGTCTACATTAGAAAAAGCCTGGTTGCTCCACTGGATTTGGCCGCACAAATAGGCCGGGCTCTTTTTGATTCCGAATGGAGTGAGAACCGTGTCGGTTTTATAATGATGTTTATTTGTTTTTATTTTCTTCTGTGAACGAGGATCCGGATTCCCTAAATACTACATCGAAAAATGCTTTCAAAAATGGTCGGAAATTCTCTCCAAGAAAAAAAAATGCGTTTCAGCAAAATAATTCTGTTGAAAATCGAAAACCATTGAAACAAAAATTATACTTTTGTAGATGATTCATTTGAGCCCAGGATAAAACGAATTTCACAAAAACAACATTTCTTGAGATAGTGGTTGTTAGGAATAAACTATTAATTCGTATAGTGAGTAATTAAAATTCTCTAAAAATGTAAAATTAAAGTGTCTTTTTTGTAGTATCTCTTAAATTCTTGTATCACTTCCTCCCAACCACAACTAAAAACAGAAAAATGTACGCATTTTGAATAATTTTAATCTGGGCCCTTATAATAAAAATTAATAAATAATTGTTATTTAGATTCATAATTCACACACCGTCGTCTGGCATGGAAACTTGAAATTGTACCCAGTAAATCCTCGTACAAAGCGTAAACGGATTTTATCGCTTCAAAATCGCTCTTGAACGATTGATTTTATTTTGAATGCGATAGTTAAATTTTTTTTATTTTTCTTTCATTTCCGTACGCAGTTTTTATTATCTGTTTAATGTTATTATTCAAACGAGAGATCAGGTCCCCGATTGTACTCGTATAGAATAATAATGTAATATAGAGCGTTTAATTTTTACCACCGCCGCACTTCGTTTGGCGATCGAGCGATAAAGAAAAACAATCCGAATTCAAATTAAAAAAAAAAAAAAACAAATAATATATACGTTGAGGTACGTATATATATTATATATTATATTGTAAGTATATCTTCGGCCTAAAGTTTTTTGTACGCTGTGCGAGTATAATACGAAGTTCTCGGAATAGGTGCAATAAAAGGGACGGAGGTGAGGGATGAGGTTGGTCGGGCACTGTCGGGCTCCGGAGTCAGGGCCGGTCTAATAAAACCTTAAAGATAAATACGCGAAACAAAAGAACCGCTGCATTGATAAAAAAAAAAAAAAAAAAAAAATAAAATAAAATAAAAGTTTCTTCCCAACGGAATACCGGCGTATAGATAGGTATAGGTATGGTACGGGCACCGGCACTTCGCTTCTATATATTTCGGCCGCAGTAAAAATATATTGGTATTATGTTCTTCTTTTATATTATTGCAGTAGTTGGTATATATTATACGAAATGCCGAGCCCGAGTCGAACTCTACAGTATCGGTATAACCATTACGGGTTGTTACTGCAGCTGTGCGTAAAACGTCATTCGGAATAAAAATAGACGTTCGAGTTTTCGTATTATTATTATTATTTTTTTTCAATTTGTATCGGATATAGCTATAGGTATACATAGTACCTATATATAATCAAACTTACGGTACGGATAATAGCATAGCGGGCAGCTGCCTATGGTATAGGCGATGTTTTCGTGGGAGGTCTTCGGATTTATAGCGTAAAGCCGAAAAAATCAAACGATAAAAGCACCCTTTCGCATAAATATGAAAGATAGATACTTTTTGGGTTTTAAACGATAGTGAGGATTGCCTAAAACACGTTAACAATTGTAAGAATTATACGTATACGTATATCATAATATACCGACACGTCATGTTGATGTTGAATTTGTTTGTAATGATAAAAAAAAAAAAAAATCGATTATGTGTTAGTTTAAATATTATAGTGTGTTAGTCCATTACCATTAAATATGTAATTTCATCATTCGCAGGACGGTAATAATATTATCGCGAAACGGACAGTGTGGCCCGTTTAACAATACTATATTTTAACTTTTGTTCGAAAGCCATTGAAATTATTACGGTCGATGATAATTCCGTTCATTCGTGTGTCACAAGGCGCAAAAACTAAAACCCGCGACCTGACCGTGTGTCTCGCGCGAGTCGGTTTTGTTGTATTCTTAGCGCCCGGTGCGGTAATAATAATCGCGGATGGTTATAATAGGTGAAAAAAAAAGAGGTGCTTAAATGATTATTTATTCATTTTTTTTTTTCTTTCGAAAATCTACTAGCTTACATATTATAACGCTGTTTTGAACGACGGCGGTGTATTGTTATTTAAGTATTCACCGATACTTAAATGTCGATATAATCACTTATTCACAAAACAACAATCGTTATTTAAAGTTTTAACATTGTATTGTAGGGCATAAACGTCAAGGAATTGGCACGACCGAAAATTCTCTGATGTAAGGGACGATTTTGTTGGTGTAACTGCGTGTGGTTTATGTTCAAGTTACATGTCTCGACTGTCCCGAAAAATATTGTTTCGAAATCGATATTTACGACCTTATTATTATATTTGATTATTCAAAATGGTTTCAAATGGTCGTATAATGGTTATTATAAACCCTATATTATCAAATTGTACACAAATTTTAACAATGGTAAATACTGCATTTTAGACCGGCGTTAATTTCGTTGAATTGGCGTCATTATTTATAGGCTAATGTCTGAGTCGGTAAAAACAGTGCGACGCGATTTCTGACGTCGTCGCGATACGGATGCGTCGGCTGTTCAGAGTATTAATTGTACAAAGGAAAATGCGGAAATAATTAGAGTTTTCAACGTGGTCCGACCAGACGTTGTTCGGACGCGACCTAGAGAAGCCGAATAGAACGTTCACGGATACCGATTGACTAAATCCCAAATATTATTGTTTTATTTAAATCGGAACTATCGGTTTGAACAACGCGGCCCGGTGTGAACGACGACGAAAATCCGCCGGTGTGTCGTCGCCGTCGGCCGGTAAATTCGTCTTACGCGTAATTTCGCCACGGATTCGTGCTGTTATATCGCTGAAACTTTCCGAGATGACGCGCGACGTGACCGCGACCGCGGTGAGTGTAAATATATTACCAGACGGGTACCCGGGTTATCGTTTTGTTCACGAACGCGGCGGTAATTTTCTTTTCTCTCCTCGCCCGGATCCACGCGAAACCCAAAGCTCCTCGTACACACGCATATATATTTATACACGTGTGCGTATACGGACCGCGGGTTCAAGTAGGTGTACGCGTATTACAGGTATACACTCCTTGACGGGCAAAGATTTATGTGCATGTGCATTATGTTATGTACGGTAGGGATGCCGTTGCGGCGCGATGAAAGAATATCCGACGGCGACCCGGCGGACGGGAGTGGGGCGGTGAGGGTGCGTAAGGGTTTTTCCTCCATCCTCCGCCGTCATTATTTTTCGCGTGCCCCGCAATGAGAGACGGCGGCGATGACGACGACGACGACGACGGCGAGACGGCCGCGGTGATGGTATACATCATAAACGAGCGTGCGTATAGCGAGTGGGTGCAGCCGCGCCATTATGTACGAAATTCTAGGGCTCCGGAGTTGTTATTATTATTTATTTTTTTTCTCTCCCTCGTATTTCTTTTCAATTCGCGCCGCCCGTAAGAATTTTCGCTTTTTATTCCGCTGCCGCCGCCGGATTGCCGGGCTGATATTATATATTGTGTGTAATACGCAAAGTGCAGCGGTACACTATTATCCGCACGCGCGCTAGCCGGCTGAAAGCGGTTCCGTCTTTAGAAATGCGAAAAATTAAAATTAAAAAAAAAAAAAAAAAAAACCAACCATCAACCGACCGCCTAATTAATTAAATCCGTCCACTGCGGGGTCTTTGTATGCCCGCCGCCGTTGCAGGATGATAATAATAATAATAACGTTATTAAACTATCATAGACCGCGCGGCTGACCAGTGTACCATACGATTATACGAACCGATGCGTACCTACCGAATTCGTCTTGACCGCGGTCTCGGAAGATAGAACGATTATTGAAACTGTATACCAGCGTTTCTCGAACGGTGGAGGGGGAACGTGATCAAATTTCTGGGGAGACGCGAGCAGTCAGCACGAAGTAAAATTCGTATTTTTTTTTTCCGCGTGGTGAAAAAATAAATAATAAATAATTACTCGATAAAGATTACTAGCAAGGCAGAGGGAATTTGCTCGGCGGCTTAACTGCACGATAAATTAGTGTCTATAACGAATATAATCCGCCAGTCCGAACTTGACACGTCAAGCTTTTTAATTTTTATTTCACTAGTGTGATATCAAATGTGCGGGATGAATCGTTGGTACCTTTAGTTTATAAGCTCGACATTATTCTTTTCATAACGTCACAGAAGCGCTAGCAGTCTTGAAACCGGCTGATTCAGGGGATTCGATTCGATCGCCGTTTACGACGGTTTTATTTTATATACGTCGATGGGAAACCGTGGTATCTATTATATTTGTGTTTTATCTTCCTCGGATTCCTTGGCAAAGAACAAGACTTCCATCTGACAAAAGTATTTATAATAAGCTAACCTGGTCACTTAAACGTATCCTGCAACATCTAAGGAACGAATCCTTTAATAACTGGATTGCATCCCTAACGACCANCCACCGGAAGAAAAATGATAGCTCTAACCAGTTGCTAATTCCTGCACATGTTCGTGAACTAATAACCCAAAAGAGGAGAGCCAGAGCCCATTGGCAACGAACAAGACTCCCATCTGACAAAAGTATTTATAATAAGCTAACCTGGTCACTTAAACGTATCCTGTAACATCTAAGGAACGAATCCTTTAATAACTGGATTGCATCCCTAACGCTTAGGGACAACTCGCTCTGGAGAGCAACACGTAATTGTTTAAAACAAAAGTCCGCCCCAACTTCCTTAAAAAAATCCGATGGTACTTGGTGCAAATCAGATAAAGAGAAAGCTGAACTTTTCTGTTCTCACCTTTCAGAAGTTT